ATCTCAGAGCCCTTGGCTGCTGCTGACATCCCCGCCTACTACATCAGTACTTTCAAGTTTGACCATGCACTGGTGAGTGTCCAAACCCAGATTCCACCGGGGCAGGGCCAGGGCCAGGGCGGGAGGTGGTGGGCAGCGGGCTCCTGGGCTCACCGACAGGTGTCTGCCTCCTCCCCCACCCCGCCCCCTGAGCAGGTCCCAGAAGAGAACATCAGTGGTGTCATCAGTGCCCTGAAGGTCAGCCAAGCAGAGAAGCACTAGGAAGGTCTCTTCTGCACCTCCTGCCGCCCGGCCCAGCCCCAACCCCGAAGATGGATCTTGCAGTATTTCTCTACAGACTGGAAAATCGGCCCTGGGGACCCCGAGGAAGGGGCCTCTCCAGGACACTCCCTCAATTGCCAATCCCTCCAGGCCGGGGGCCCACGCCAAGGCCTCCTCATGCCCTCCTGCCTTCCCGGAGCCCCCCAGCCCTCCAGAGAACAGCCTGCCTCTCCCCTACCTCCCCACCCCAGAAAATGCTTTCGGAGGCCCAGGGGGCTTGTGAGCTGATCCGCCTTCCTATCCAGCCTCGCCCTCGGCCAGGGGCGGATGCGGAGGGAAGCTGGTCCCTCCTACGAGACAGCCGTGTGCCAGCTCTCATGTCACTTTGCGGGGCTGGGGCTGGCGGGGTGGGGCGGAGTCTGGGGTGCCCGGGAGGGTTTTGGGGGCGAGTACTGTGGTCGCTGGTCTCCGGTCCATCAGCTCAGGGCTGGTCCCCTCCGAGTGGAGGCCAGCGCGACCCCCTCAGGTCATCGGGGCTGGTGAGGCTCAGACAAGAAGCCAGGTGGCATCCCCAAGCTGGGAAGGACCCGAACTCCCCCTGTACCTCGCCTGCCATTCACAGGGCCTGGGCCCGACTCCCAGCAAGACTGCCAACAGGGCCCTGTCCAGACCCTCCCCCACAAACACCCAATCCTTGGGGGAGGGGGGAGGGTCCCAGGAGACCCACCAGCCTGGAGCACCAGCTCCTGTCCCCTCTGCTCTCCCTGGACCCGCCTTGGGCAGGCAGAGCCTCAGTTTCCCCCAGCAGGGATATCCCTGGCTTTTTGGGCCTGGGGTTTCTTAGGTGGTATCCCACCTCCCCAACAGATGACTAGACCAGCATAGGACTCCCCGCCTCCCTCCCCTGCCCCCAACTTCGCCTGCCCACGCCTTGGCCGGGGGCCGTGGCATTCCTAAGTACTTGACCCAGGAGGCAGCTTAACTGAGCCTTAACAGAGAAAACCATACCTTGTTTTAGTTTTTTATTTAATGTGTTTGCACCCAGGCTGCTGTCGGCGGTACTTTATGTTTGAGGGGGTAGGTAAGACCGATTTGAGTTGTGTCGAGGGGGCCTGGAGGCTCTGTCACTAGGCTGGTCCTCTGGGGCTCCAGGGACAGGCATGAGAGTCGGGAGATGTCACATGATAAGCCTTGGCCCTCTCTTCTGAAGAGAAGCTGAGAGCAGACATCGACAAGAGGCTAGAGCTGCTGTCACCCCACATGGGACCTCCCAACCAGCTGTGGCTCTTGCTGAGCACCAGAGGCGGTGAGGGGACCCTAGGGCCATGGGGAGGGGACAGCCGGGCAGTGGGCCAGCTGAGTGGTCACGACCAGGAGGCACGGGGTTAGCTGTGGCGTCCCTTCCATTGACTGGGGTGGCTTTCTGAGTGAGCAAGGTCCGGGGGCCTCTGTGGCTTTGGCTCTGGCAGTCCAGTTGTGATGTTTTTCTGAGATGGTACCTCGCTCTGTCACCAAGGCTGGAGTGCAGTGATGCGATCTTGGCTCTCTGCAACCTCCGTCTCCCGGGTTCAACTGATTCTCCTGCCTCAGCCTCCCGAGTAGCTGGGAATACATAACACGCACCACCATGCCTGGCTAGTTTTTGTATTTTTAATAGAGACGGGAGTTTCGTCACGTTGCTCAGGCGATCCGCCCGCCTCGGCCTCCCAAAGTGCTAGGAATACAGGCGCGAGCCACAGCACCCGGCCGAGTTGTGCTGTTTCTGAAAAGGTCAGAGGAGAAGGACTAGTTTCTAAACCCGGCAAAGTGCTCCCCACTCCTATGAGCCGAGTGGGACCCTCTGAGCCCCAGAAGCCCACCACGTCAATTAGAAACCCACTTTTTTTTTTTTTTTTTTTTTTTTGGTTAATTCATTTTGCACAAAACTTCAAAACAAAACTTGTACATCGCTGGTCCCAAAAGGGAGGCGGCCAGGTGGGGCGGGCCTGCGCTGGAGGCCCTGAGTCCCCTTTCTGACCTTGCAAGGCCTTGATTTTCCTTTCTGTCATTTCCCCCTGACAATGTCACTTCTCTGCCTTTCCTTCCCGCCGTGCAAGCGTGTCGGCCCCATGACCCCAGCGTCCTGTGTCCCCCACCTAGACTTCCTAGGACGTGTCTGTTGTACACACCTATAAATACCTGTTTTATGTTGATAGAGATATATACTGTAAATAGCATATATACTTGAGCAATATATATGTTAATATATACTGTGTGAGCAGTCTGTGGACACAGCCCCCTGCCGTGTGTGCCCACGTGTGTGGGCGTGGTGGCCTCTGCCCCGCGCCGTCTGCCACGCACGCAGGCACGTTGGAGTCACCATATATTTTTAATTCAAGTATATATAGGCAATACGATTATTACAGAAGCCGATGGGTTCCCTCAGACCTGACTTGAGAGATCAAAGCCAGCCACTCAGAGCGTGGGACGTGGGGCGGGTGCCAAGAGCCCACTGTGACGTGAGTCGTGCCTCCTGTACCCCACTTTCCCCCAGCCACAGTCCCTGGATGCCCTTGATTTTTTTGGGGGGGGGATGTCGATCCCCAGGGAGGAGTATTTGGAATTTCTTGCTTTTAATTGGAATGCCCCCTCTCGCCTGCCCCACCCGGCGGCCTCACCCTGAAGACGGGCTGGCCGAATGGCCCACGCTGCCTGTGTTCCGCCTCCGTGGGTGGCAGTTTTTACACAGGTGGCTTCTCTGCTGTATTTTGGGGGGGTGGTTGGTTGGTTTTGGTAACCTGCAAGCTCAGAAATCTCAGGTTCTGCTCCCGGGGCTCCTCCTGGGGACTGGCCTCATGAAACAGAAAAGCAGGAGTGTTGGGGCGGGCTGGGGCCCTGGCTGGCTCTGCAGGGGTGGGGCCTGTTCCAGCCAGCCCCGTGGCAGCTTTCCCCCAGGGACCCCACTCTTCGGTCCTGGGGCCCCCCTTTAGTTTTTCTGTTCCCGTCCTGCTCGTGTGAAGCTCGGCGTTCTGTGTGTGGCGCGGTCCTGGTTGGTCTCCACAGCTGTTCGGTGGGGTAGGTGTGAGTGTGGTTGTTCCCAGCAGGCGTTGTCTGCCCTTGTATTCCAGCCATCTCCTGGCCTGCTGGGTGAGAGGGTCTCTCCAAGCCCCAGACCCCACTAGGAGGGGTGTGTGTTTCTCGGAGGGGCTGCGAGCGGGACCCTTCTCCATCCGCAGCTGCATGGGGCTCCCCGCCTGACCGCCGTCGGTCCCCCGGAGGAAGTCGGAGGAGTGGGCCCGTTGTTGCAGTGTGGCAGATGGGGCAGGTGCCTGGCGGGGGAGGAAGGGAACTCTCTGTGGTGTGGATTTTTTTTCTTTAGATGGGAGTCTTTCTGTCGCCCAGGCTGGAAGGCAGTAATGGCATGATCTCAGCTCACTGCAACCGCCACCTCCTGGGTTCAAGAAAGTCTCCTGCCTCAGCCTCCCAAGTAAGGGGGATTACAGTTGCCCATCACCACACCCAGCTAATTTTTGTATTTTTAGTAGAGACGGGTTTCACCATGTTGGCCAGGCTGGTCTTGAACTCGTGACCTCAAGTGATCTGCCTGCCTCGGCCTCCCAAAGTGCTGGGATTACAGGCATGAGCCACCACACTCGGCCTCATGTGGAATGTCTAGGAGCAAGCAGGTGGTCCTGGGCTGCCACGTGGGCTTCTGGAGTGTGTGTCTTGGCCCCTGTGTGGCTCTCCAGTAAGAAAAGCTCAGACAGTCTCCACCCGACTCTCTCCCCTTGCTGCACTCCAAGGACGGTGGGAGCTGAAGGATGGGGAGGAACAGAGAGTGGCCACCCCTCCCCACCACTGAGAAGTTCTGCCTCGTCGTGGGGCTCCCCTGGTTCCCAAAACACCCATTTCTCCCTCAGCCCCTCATCTTGACCCAGCGAAGATCTGGGCATTACTAACTCTGCACCTCCTTCCTCCGTGGGCATCTCTAGAACCCCCTGGGCACTGCCCACGCCACCATCCTCAGCCCGGGGCATGCGTTTGAGCTGGAGAGGTTTGCAGCCCTGACCCCAATAGCCTGCCCTCCCCAAGATTCAGGGAGAGCCCAGAGCCTCACTCTAAACCACCGGCATTCTCCCTTCCAGGCACCAGGCTGCTGGTGGGCAAGGAAGGAGCTGGGTAATCAGACGCTCCCAGCGCGGCCGCCTGAAGCAGCAGCGGAGCCACGGTGACATTTTTTTTTAGCGGGAGGAGGTTTGGTCTGGAGGGGCTTGCTCCTCCAAAGTGACAGAGATGCCCTGGAGGTCAGGAGAGAAGACAGGGAGGGCCAGGCTCCTGTGAAAGCCTAGGGCACTATTTTACTGGTGATCTTCAGAGGTGAACCCCGGTCAGCTCCCACTGGCCCCCTCCTCCTGGCTGCATTTTCCAGGGAGACCCTTGGGAGTCCTAAGGCCACTCTGGGCCCCTTTCTGAGCCCTGAGATCTGGTTGTGGGGATAACCAGGGCTTTCACAGCCCCAGCTGGGGCAGGGTGGGGGGGTGCTTTAGGACAAGAGTACCCCAACCCTGTAGTGAGGGGATTTTTTTTTTTTTTTTTTTTTTTTTTTTGAGATGGAGTCTCGCTCTGTCACCCAGGCTGGAGGGCAGTGGAGTGATCTCAGCTCACCGCAACCTCCACCTCCTGGGTTCAAGCACTTCTCCCTCAGCCTCCCAAGTAGCTGGGATTACAGGCACGTGCCACCATGCTTGGCTAATTTTTGGATTTTTAGTAAAGACAGATTTCTCCATATTGGGCAGGCTGGTCTCGAACTCCTGACCTCAGGTGATCCACCCACCTTGGCCTCCCAAAGTGCTGGGATTACAGGTGTGAGCCACCGTGCCCAGCCAATGGGGGTATTTTTGATGCCACTTCCTGAGTGAAGCACTTTGCATGGGGGTGGGAAGAAGAACCCCCATTCTCAGCCCACTCCGAGCAGGGCCTGGAGCAGTGGAGACGGTGGTTGGTATCACAGGCAGAGCCTGAGTGAGGCCGGTGGACTTCTCCAACAGAAAAAGATACTGGTTTTGGGGTACTAGGGTGAGGGAGGGGATTAGGCTTGCTGGGGGCCCATTCAAAGGAGGCCAGGCTCGGTGGCTCACACCTGTAATCCCAGCACTTTGGGAGGCCAAGGCGGGAGGATCGATTGAGGCTAGTTCAAGACCAACCTGACCACATGGCAAGCAAGACCCCACCTCTACCAAAAAAAAAACAACAAAAGAGGCTGCCAGGGAAGGAAGCCAGTCAGCAGCGGCCTGGCGCAGAGGCAGGAGCCTGAGGCCTGGGCCAGGGCATCCAGGCACAGCCTGGTGGGCCAAAAGAGCTTGTGGCTGTCGTTAAAAGGGAAGAGGAGGTATAGAAATGGGAAGTGCCGGGCGGCTTCTGTGCTGGGAGTCAGGACACAGGCCTGGGTGTGTTTATCCACACGTATGTGCATGTGCGTGGGTGTGTTCATACACTTTAGAGTGTGTGTGCGCACAGGTGTGCAGAGCCCGTACCCGAGAGGTGGGACGGAGTAGTATTTTGAGTTCTCAGAAGCGGTCTTGCTCTCGGGCCCCGAGTACAGAGATGATCAGGCGAGTGAGGCAGGACTTGAATGCAGGCCGTGGCTCCAGGGAAAGGGTGGGGCGTCTCTGGTAGGATGGCCTCACCCCACTTGTCAGAACTACTCTGGAGGGGGGCAAAGGTGTCAGGAACAGTTTGGCTGAGCGATTCTGGCTCAGGGTTTTTCGTGAGGTTGCCGTTGTCTGAAATCTTAGCCAAGGATTGGAGAATGCACTTCCAAGTTAGGCCTGGCTGTAGGCAGGAGGCCTCAGTCTTTCTCCAGCTGGGCCAACCCACGGGGCCGCTTGAGTGTCCTCACAATATGGCACCCAGCTTCCCCCCGCCAGAGCAAGAGATTCAAGGGCCCAGGGTAGAAGCCCAAGTGTTACTTTTATCCCTAGCCTCAGTCGCCTCCACCACGCTCTGGTGTGATACAGCCCAGCTCTGATTGGAAGGGGCTGGGCCTGCCCGTGCTGACTCTTCAGAGGCATCCCATGCTGAAGGTGGTGTTCCCAGGGAGAGCTTTTGGGGGCTGGCACTCCCTCACCTACTGGGGCTCATTCTGGAAGAGGGTCCAGAAGAATTGGAGACCCCTGCTCCTCACTCAACTTTGGAGGTGGCAGGGTGAACAGCAGGCCAAGTTGAGGGCCTGAGACAGGCCAAGACCAGTGCGGTTTCCCCTCCACTGCCTCAGTTTACCTGTATTCAGAAGACGGGTCTGGGAAGAGTTGAGCAGAGTTCCCTCTAAAAGAGTAGGGAGCTGATAACAATCTCAAACCCTCCTCTTTATGCCAAAATCATTTCCGTTATCCTGAGATGGGGTGAGTGGATGGATAGTGTACTGAGGGGCCTCTGCCCTGCCCAGAGACCCCATCAAAGGGGAGCACAGGGGACTTCCTGCCCACGGCCCCCTCTGGCCCTTGCCTGGCATGCCCGGGTCACCAGCAGCAGCAGTGGTGTTTCAGTGGTCCCAAGATCTGGGGGAAGGGGAGAACCCGCCATCTTACCCCTACCCCCCGGGGCCTTCATGCTTATTTTCTTGTTGAAGAAACACAAAACCCTCGAGATTCATGTACTGTATGTTGGAGAGAAAAAAATACCTAATGTTCCCCCAAAAAAGACAGTATATTTTGTACTTTGTAAAGTGTTAATTAAAATGAAAAACGATGCTGGCTGGTGGCTGTCTGGTTTTGTGCGGACCTAGCCAGAGACTGGCCTCATCTCTTTCTCCTCCACGCTGTGATTGTAAGAACACAGGCCAGGGGCTAGAGGGGGTAGAAAAACACCCCAGAACCTGAGGAAGGGCCCCCAGAGCCACAGGGGTTGTATTAGTCACATGGTGCTGCGTAACACGTTGCCTCAAAACTTAGCCACTTGTTAAACATGATCATTATTTATAGATCACGTTTTCTGCGGGTCAGGAATTCCGGAAGTTTGGCTGAGCGATTCTGGCTCAGAGTCGCTCATGAGGTTGCCACTGTCTGAAATCTTAGCTAAGGTTGGAGAATGCACTTCTAAGTTACATCTTGCTGTCGGCAGGAGGCCTCAGTCCTTCCCCCAAGTGGGCCAACCCACGGGGCTGCTTGAGTGTCCTCACAATATGGCGCCCAGCTTCCCCGAGAACAAGAGATTCAAGGGCCCAGGTTAGAAACCGAAGTGTTATTTTTATCCCTAGCCTCGGAATTCTCATGCAGTTGCCTCTGCCGTGCTCTCTGGTGTGATACAGTCCAGCTCCGATTTGACATGAAAGGGTTACAAGTGGGTAGAAACCGGGAGATAAAGATGACTGGAGACCATCTTGGAGACCAGTTACTGTGCCCAGCATCTCCACCCAGATCTTGGGCAGAGGCAGGCCTGGGAGTTGGGGGCAGTCGGTGGAAGGAGTTGGACAGGGCCTTTCTGATGGCAGGTGAAGGTCAGGCGCTGGTTGCCTGGCCGCAGGGTCTCTACCCCAAACTTAGAGCCCTGCCCTCGACATTACAGCTCCAGGAAGGTTCCAGAAGCCCAGGAGCCGATACCTCCAGATTAGATATCCTGCGAGCAGAAGAGGGTCCCATGCTTCCAGCTCCTGCCCTCTGGGTACAAGGGACGCTGGATCTGCACCAGCAAGAAAAAGGTGAGCTTAAGCCCGGCAGGTTCTAGACCTGACACCCTCCCCTTCTCCTCTCTCAGATTTTCCATGGGGATAGGTGTGAGCCCCATACCTGCCCTGGGCACCACCAACCCCTGCCCCCACCCTGCCTCACCTTGGCCCACAGGAAAAGAGAACCCGGAGACGGGAAGTGAGAACGGAAGCTGAAAGGCCGGGCCTGGTGGCTCACGCCTCTAATCCCAGCACTTTGGGAGGTCAAGGAGGGTGGATCATCTGAGGTTGGGAGTTCGAGACCAGCCTGACCAACATGGAGAAATGCTTTTCTCTACTACTAATACAGAAAAATTCGGCGTGGTAGCGCATGCCTGTAGTCCCAGATACTTGGGAGGCTGAGACAGGAGAATCGCTCTAACCCAGGAGGCAGAGGTGGCAGTGAGCCGAGATCGTGCCACTGCACTCCAGCCTGGGCAACAAGAGTGAGACTCTGTCTCAAAAATAGATATATAATTTTCCTCCTGGAATGCATATCAACTGCTGGAGTTGTGGACCCAGCTACCACCGTTAGATTGAGCCTGTCCAGCCCGAGGCCCTGAGGAGGGGACTCAAATGGGGCCTCTTTTAGACTGGCATGGCTTCATGTGCTGCACTCTGGTCTCCTGGCATTCAGCTGCCACCTGCTACCAGAGCAAGAGCCAGATGCTTCCCCAGCAAGACAGCGCCTCCTAGTTGGAAGTGACAACAGCGTCTAGGTCTATCCTTCTATTTTATTTAATTTATTTATTTTATTATTATTTGTTTTTTTTGAGACGGAGTTTCGCTCTTGTTGCCCAGGCTGGAGTGCAATGGCGCGATCTTGGCTCACCGCAACCTCCGCCTCCCGGGTTCAGGCAATTCTCCTGCCTCAGCCTCCTGAGTAGCTGGGATGACAGGCACGCACCACCACGCCCAGCTAATTTTTTGTATTTTTAGTAGAGACGGGGTTTCACCATGTTGACCGGGATGGTCTCGATCTCCTGACCTCGTGATCCACCTGCCTCGACCTCCCAAAGTGCTGGGATTACAGGCGTGAGCTACTGCACCAGGCTATTTTATTTTTTGAGATAGAATCTCACTCGGTTGCCCAGGCAGGACTGCAGTGGTGCAATCTCAGCTCACTGCAAGCTTTACCTTCCGGGTTCAAGCGATTCTCCCGCCTCAGTCTCCCAAGTAGCTGGGATTACAGGTGCCTGCCACCACGCCTGGCTAATTTTTGTATTTTTAGTAGAGATGGGGTTTCTCCATGTTGGTCATGCTGGTCTCAAACTCCCGACTTGTTATCTGTCCACCTCAGCCTCCCAAAGTACTGAGATTACAGGCGTGAGCCACTGCGCCCAGGCTGTATTTTTACTTAAATTTCCTTTTTTGAGCCAGAGTCTTGCTCTGTCACCCAGGCTGGAGTGCAGTCGTGCTATCATGGTTCACTGCAACCTCCGCCTCCCGTCTTTGTGTGTGCGTGTGCACACTCATATCCGTGTTCATTCCTACTCCGTGGGCAGGGGCAGGAGTGCCTAGATGGGCAGCCCAGCTGAGGGAGAATGGACAACAGCCCAGGAGCTGGCACTAACTGGATCATAACTGGATCAGACCTGTGGGTAACTACTTACTACATCCCGGGATGCTGCAGTGGTTGGACTGGCGCCCACTGGGGGGCCCTTGGAGGAGCTGAGAACATGGCTCCATGTCAAGTGAGGATCCCTGGGAGGCAGCTCACTGAGACTTGTGAAGTCGCCTGTGCCCATGGCAGATGACATCCTGCCTCTGAGGGGACACCCGGTCTCAGGAGAGCAACGCCACTCCCCAAGGTCAAAGAGCAGAGTAGGGCAGGGAAGCGATTCTCCTGCTTAAGCCTTCAGAGTAGCTGGGATTACAGACGTGTGCTACTACGTCTAGCTAATTTTTGTATTTTTAGTAGAGATGGGGTTTCACCATGTTAACTCAGGCTGGTCTCGAACTCTTGACCTCAGGAGGTCCACCCACCTCGGCCTCCCAAAGTGCTGGGATTACAGACGTGAGCCACCACACCAGGCCTCCTAATAGTTTAAGCAGCCCCCTCGGCCATCCAGGCGAAGGCCAGGCCCTCTGCAGATGCTGGCACCAGGTGGAAGGTGGGAGAAACGTGGGACCTTCATAGGTGCATCGTGAGTTTTGATCCTGGCCCAGGCACGGCGCTGGGCACTGAGCCTCGGACTGCAACTTGCTGGGTCATGCCCGAGCATTCCCTTCATGGCCTATTTGTCAGGATTTGACTTTGTCATGCAGAACACAGTCAGCACATGAGTATTTCCTGAATAAATGAAAATGTGGGGTGACCGCACGTTCAAGAAACAAGTCACGACGGCACTCTGTGGAGGTTGACAACCTGAGCTTTTATTAGCTGTGAAGGGTTTTCATGCCAGTGACAGTCATCGCTTCCCCGAAGAAATCAGTGTGGCATGGTGGTCTACATGTCTGCAGGGACGAAGAGGATGGAAGACCAGGGCCCACAACCGCTGCCAGCTGTCCGAGGGAGATGGGGGTAGCCTCCTCGCAGCTCACAGGCTGGACACACGTCTTCCACCAGGTGCGTCTCTGACCTTGGTTACTGGCCCCATTAGAGAGAAAGGGACAGTCTTCGTGTACAGAGGATGGCCTGGGGGCACCTGGGGTTGGCACAAGCCTCTCTCCACTAAAGTGAGAGGAGACGGGAGCTTGCAAACACTGACTTCACCGGAACACGATGATCCAGCCTAGCAACTGAGCTAATGGCATAGCAGGGTTTCTATGGACGTGTGTCAAATGCTGGGGGTGGGGGGACGCACTGGCGCGGAGAGGACAGACGCTGAGACACAGGCACAGGTGACAAGTGGGAAGAGGGCCTGGGCCACGGCAGAAGAGCTCCCACAGAGGGCACAGCCAAGCAGCCTGCTAAGCAGACCGGGCCCAGCTGGACAGAACAGACGAACCCAAGGACCTCCTTCCTTCTACACTGGGTGCTACGTCCAAAGTCAAGATCATTACTGAGGCTGGGGGCCCGGGTTCACCCCTGTCATCCCAGCACTTTGGGAGGCCGAGGTGGGCAGATCACTGGAGGTCAGGAGTTCGACACCAGCCTGGCCAACGTAGCAAAACCCCATCTCTACTAAACATACAAAAATTACCCGGGCATGGTAATGCATGCCTGTAGTCCCAGCTACTCGGGAGGCAGAGGCAGGAGAATCATTTGAACCCGCGAGGCGGAGGTTGCCGTGAGCCGAGACCTCGCCACCGCACTCCAGCCTGGGCGACAGAGCGAGGCTCTACCTCAAACAAGATTGTTACTAGATCTGTGTCTTGGTTGCCGTTAGGGTGGGAGGATTAAAAACCCACCTTCTCCAGAGACCCTCCCTCCTCCATCCTCACCTGCCATGCTGAACCCTGCCGGGTGTGAGGGTGACTTCCAGGGACACTTGCTGTCTATACATCAGTATGTGCTTTGCAGCTTCAGTTTCACTGAGGTCGGATTACCCTGCTTCACCACGGGGGCGACGTCAGACCTGGTCCCAGTGAGAGTTTCAGGAAGGAAAACTGACACACCGTTTTCAATTTCTATTTCAAGTTTGTGAGAAAACTTGCCTGTAATAAACCTAAGAAAGGGTTCGCAGCCCAGGTGAAGGGTCCCTCCCCTAGATACCTGAGTGGGTGGTTCTCCTGGCCGCAGGTCGCAGCAAGGACACCGCCGGCGGGATGGCCATTCCACTTTAAAGTGCAGCCCTGATGGCCGGGCGCGTGGCTCACGCCTGTCATCCCAACACTTTGGGAGGCCAAGGTGAGTGGATCACCTGAGGGCAGGAGTTCGAGACCAGCATGGCCAACATAGTGAAACCCCGTCTCTACTAAAAATACAAAAATCAGCCAGGCGTGGTCGCAGGTGCCTGTAACCCCAGCTACTTGGGAGGCTGAGGTAGGAGAATCGCTTGAACCCAGGAGGTGGAGGTTGCAGTGAGCCAAGATTGCGCCACTGCACTGCAGTCTGGGCGACAGAGCGAGATGCCGTCTCAAAAGTAATAATAAAAATTAATAAGTGCAGCCCTCCCAAGCTCTCACCCCTCCTCCTGCTTTCTCTCCACTGCCCACAGAGCCATTTAACATGCTGCTTCTCATTTTCCCACCTCCCTAGAATGCTGAGTCTCACAGTGCGGGGATTTGTGTCAACACGTGCCCCAGAGTGAGGACCGGGCATGGAAGGGACACACGACAAGTATCTGCTGAGTGAATGCATCAAAGGACTGGGATAAAGGCAGACAGGGCACGGGAGTCCAGCCTGTGACATGAGTACAAGGTATTGTCTCTCAGCTGAACTATGGGAGTAGAATCTGTTCCACAAATATTTGTTGGGTACAGCCGGCCACAGTGGCTCACGCCTGTAATCGCAGCACTTTGTGGGGCTGAAGCAGGTGGATCATCTGAGATCAGGAGTTCAAGACCAGCCGGGCCAACATTGCAAAACCCCATCTCTACTAAAAATAACAACAACAACAACAACAAAAATAGCCAGGCATGGTGGTGCACACCTGTAGTCCCAGCTACTCAGGAGGCTGAGGCAGGAGAATAGTTTGAACCCAGGGGGTGGAGGTTGCAGTGAGCCAATATCACGTCACTCCACTCCAGCCTGGGTGACAGAGTGAGACTCTGTCTCAAAAATAAAGAAAAAAGAAAAAGAGAATAAGAATATTTGTCAAGTAGGACTGTCTTATTATTCAGCTCAACATGGTAGCTCACACCTATAATCCTAGCACTTTGGGAGGCCCAGGCAGGAGGATGGCTTGAGGCCAGGGGTTTGAGACCAGTCTAAGCAACATAGCAAGACCCTGTCTCTATTTAAAAAATAGTAAAAAGACCTCATCTTTATAAAAAAATAGTAACAAAAAGGTATTTTTCACTGGCTTCAGCCTCTGTATCAAAAGGCTTGCTATATTGTAAAAACAAAACTCTAAATGATCAAGATTTTAAGATGACCACTTCAGATCTTAAAAACCAAAAGGCACAAAATAGACTTTATTCCAGACAGATCTGTCAAAGATGTTTTTAAAGGGAATGGCAAGTCAGGCTACTAAATCGAACGTTTCTGGGTCTCCCTCCCCCGAGCCTGGCACTGTGGCCAAGCCTCGGCGGGGGTGCCCGGGCCCTCGGCCCACAGGAACTTGGCCCCGATTCTCTTCCTGCGGGGCTTCTCAACTTTTCCGAGCCAGGCAGTGAGCGGGGTGGGAGGCTGCGGCTGGTGCCCGCGGGGAGCTCCGGATGGAATCCCAGGCCACGGTGCTTCTGGTGCCCCCCGGTGAGCTTGTGGTGTGGCCGGCGGCCAGGAAGGGCCACGAGCAGGGTGGCAGGAGGGAAAACCGAAGGCTGAAGCCAGACGGGCTCCCTTGCCGAAAGTGGATTTCAGTCCGAGGCGCATGCATGGCCCGGGCCAGACGCAACCCGGGAGGCCGCCGTGACAGAGGAGGACCGCCCAGGCGCCGCGTTCTAGCAAAGCTTCCCTAAGATGGACTTCTCAGGCCAGACGTGACGCCAGACACCGCCGCATGCGGCCTGGAGGGAGCAGGGACGTACTGGCCACAGCGGCCCACCAACAGCCACCGTTCCGTGCTGAGTTCCACAGGCCTCACCCGCAGCTGGGGAGGGACCCTGCCCCAGATCCTCCTGGTAGGTACCCGCTAAGGGATTCAGGAGAGAGTGTCACGGTGCACGCAGTGCACTGATCCGCCACCGCCAAGAACCCCACGGGACTGGCCACGCACTGGCCTCTGCCAAGCAATGCCAGTGGGTCCCCGGCCGGGGCCGCCCAAGCAGGTGAGGGAGGAGGTTTAGATGAATGACTTGGCCAGGGTCACCATGTGGTCCACACCACACGCCACATCCACGGGCTCCCCAGGCATCGTCACCTGAAAAATAAGACCCAGCATACTATGAGCAAGAGTGGCGCACCTGCAGGAGGCGGGCAAGGGCACTGGCACCGCTTACACCTCCTCAGCAGGTCCACCAGGGCAACTGTCTGTGGCCACAAGGACTCCCTCCAGTCAACAGCAGCCATCACCACCCATCAGCCTGAGAGGCCAGGCGGGGCAGGAACACAGGCCTGCGCGCACCCTGAACGGGCAAGCCCCACAGCGGCCGCTCCCTCTGACCCTAACGCAACCAGGCTCCATGCCTCCAGGCCAGGTGCTCAAGCTCCCTCCCGGGAGCCAGTGCTGTGGCTCACCGAGAAGCTCCAGGGGCCGGGCACTATAGCTCACACCCGTCATCTCAGCACTTTGGGAGGCCGAGGCAGGCAGACCACTTGAGGTGAGAAGTTCCAGACCAGCCAGGTGTGGTGGTGCGCGCCTGTAATCCCAGCTACTCGGGAGGCTGAGGTGGGAACATCGCTTGAACCTGGGAGATGGAGGCCGCAGTGAGCCAAGACTGCACCACTGCACTCCAGCCTGGGTGACAAAGCGAGACTCCATCTCAAAGAAAAGGCTCCGGAAACCCTTTCTCTTGCCTTGCAGGTCCAGTCTGGGAACCAGGCCCCAGTGGCCCAGCACCTCCAATCATTTTACCCATCATCCCCAGCTCCAGTCACAGGCAGGCTGGGTCCCAAGCTCCCACCAAGGAGTGGCTGCGTCTCAAAGGCCCTTGCCAGGAGCTCTGACCACACTGCCTATCTGGGCTGACAGCAGGGCCTCAGAGGACAGCCCAAGCCTCAAGGGAGGAAGCAGCAGCCATGGAGGCTCTAGCCCAGGCGTCCCCAAACTACAGCCCGCGGGCCGCATGCGGCCCCCTGAGGCCATTTATCCGGCCCCCCGCGGCACTTCAGGAAGGGGCACCTCTTTCATTGGTGGTCAGTGAGAGGAGCACAGTATGTGGCGGCCCTCCAACGGTCTGAGGGACAGTGAACTGGCCCCCTGTGTAAAAAGTCTGGGGACGCCTGCTCTAGCCTGTTTGAAGGATGCCCACTGTTCCATCGCCTCGCCATGAAAACAGACACCCCAACAGCTCCAGGGACGCCCAGGGCCATGGCCAAGCCAGCTATCCAGGAAAGGGGTCCCTGACTTTCTCTTTCTTGTTTATTATGACTAGGCAGTCCATTCACATAGCTGCAAGATAAAAGGCCGTACCGTAAAAAAAGAAGAAAAAAAGTATCAAATATCTTTTATGCTGGGCACAGTGGCTCACACTTGTAATCCCAGCACTTTGGGAGGCCAAGGCAGGCAGATCACCTGAGGTCAGGAGTTCCAAGACCAGCCTGGCCAACATGGTGAAACCCTGTGTCTACTAAAAATACAAAAATTAGCCAGGCGTGGTGGCACATGCCTATAACCCCAGCTATTTGGGAGGCTGAGGCAGGAGAATCGCTTGAAGGGAGGTGGAGATTGCAGTGAGCTGAGATCACGCCTGCACTCCGGCCTGGGCGACAGAGCAAGACTCTGTCTCAAAAAAAAAAAAAAAAGTATTTTATTACCACCCCTATCACCAGCTGCCCCAGTCCCCACCTGCCTTTGAACTGGAAACGACTTTGAACAGATTTCTTATTAACTTTCCAGAGGTTTGTTTTGTTTTTAAGAGATAGGGTCTCACTCTGTTGCCCAGGCTGGAGTACAGTGGTCCAATCATAGCTCACTGCAGGCTTAACCTCCTGTGCCACCATGCCTGGCTAATTTTGTTTGTACAGACAGGGGTCTCACTATGTTGCCCAGGCTAGAGTACAGAGACCCCATCACAGCTCACTGCAACCCTGAACTCCTGGGCTCAAGCTATCCTCCCACCTCGGCCTCCCAAGTAGCTAGGACTACAGCAGTGCACCACCGTGCTCAGCTGATTTGTGTATTTTTTGTAGAGACAGGGTCTTGCCATGTTCCCCAGGCTGGTCTCGAACTCCTGGGCTCAAGTGATTTTCCCGCCCCAGCCTCCCAGAGTGCTGGGGATCCAGGTGTGACCCGCAGGCATGACCTTCCAGGGTTCTGTATGCAGAGAAGCAGACAACTGCAAAGACGGGGCGCTGCGTGGCTGGGCCCCAAGACCCCTGCCGGGATGCTGGCACTAATCTACTGACCACATCTGAATTCAACCACCCTCCCCAGGTGGCAGCGCGCGGCCTGGCGGTGTGACAGCTGGAAAGGGGATCTGCCACAGTCCGTGGAGTTTACCGAGCTTAAGAGGGAAAATGCCTAATCCAGACGGCGTGGCCTTAAAAGCAGAGAGCAGCAGGCGCCGACCCCGGAGCTTTGTGCCTAGGCTGGGGAGACAAGACCCTTCGGGACTCCCGGCAGCAGGCAGATGGAGGCTGGAGACCAGGCCATGCTGTCCTCCCCCCACCCTGTCCCCAAACAAACGAATGTCTTTAGCAGAACCTATTACAGGAATCACTAAACAAACAAGAACAGGGCCCAGTCCATCGCAGAGGCACGTCTATGCAGACAGCCTGCGAGGCTGGCGGAGAAGAAAACAGGCTGCCTGGGCCCCAGCGGCCTCTTAGCAACCTCCCCAGCACTAGGGTTTATTTGCCTTTCCCGGGAAAGCGCGCGCCCCACTCACCCGCAGCACTTAAGCCCCCAGGCCGTCGTTCCCGCAAGGCTCCAGCCATTCACGCCCAAAGCAGAGGAAGCCACGACGCCACAGGAGTGTCCGCGTGGGCGGAAGCCGTCCCTGCGGGGCGGCAGGAGGCTCCGCGAGGTTCCAGCTCCCCCTGGTGGACAATCTCACACAGTCTCTGAACTGAGTCCAAGAGCGGAGACTGCCCTCGGCCACGTTTTATTTTTGTCCTAGGCAAGGTTCAATGTCGTTTTTCTTCTAAGCCAATTTACACTCACAGCTCCGCTGCTGAGGGAAACAGCTCCGAAACCCAGCACCGCATTTAGCCTCAGTGACTCTCTTAAAAGTCTCAGCAGAATTCCTTTAGGAACATCCCTCTCCTGGAGTACAATTACAAGTTCCTAAACAAACGCCCACGATGTGAAAGACGGGGGTGGGGGTGCAGGAAGGAGGCCCTTCGTGGAGACAGGAGAGCCCACGAAAGGGAGATTGCTCAGGCGCCCAGCTCTGCAGCTCAGAGGCCACCAGTTTTGTTTTCTGGTTTTTTTTTTTGTTTTTTTTTTTTTTTGATACAGAGTCTCGCTCTGTTGCCCAGGCTGGAGTATAGTGGCACAATCTTGGCTCACTGCAACTTCCACCTCCCGGGTTCAAGTGATTCTCCTGCCTCAGCCTCCCAAGTAGCTAGGATTACAGGCGCCTGCCACCATGCCCAACTAATTTTTTGTCTTTTTAGTAGAGGTGAGATTTCATTATGTTGGCCAGGCTGGTCTTGAACTCCTGACCTCAAGTGATCCGCCCGCCTTGGCCTCCCAAAGTGCTGAGATTACAGGCGTGAGCCACTGCACCCAGCCTGAACATAGCTGTTTTAAAGAATAAAGCTCAGCTAGGCATGGTGGCTCACCCCGGTAATTCCAACACTTTGGGAGGCCAAGGTGGGAAGACCACTTGAGGCCGGAAGTTTGAGACCAGTGTAAGCAACATAGCTGACCCTAGCTCTTAAATAATAAACTAAAATAAAAAATAATATAAATAATAAAATAAGCTGGGTGTGATGGCACATGCCTGTAATCTCAGCTATTCTAGAGGCTGAAGCAAGAGGATCACTTGAGCCCAGGAGGTTGAGGTCAACACATAAGACGCTGTCTCTTAAAAAAAAAAATTGAGTATGGTGGCACATGCCCATCATCCCATCCCACATTCCCATCACTTGGGGCTGAGGGGGGAGGATCACTTGAGCCTGGGAGACAGAGGTTGCAGGGAACTGTGATCACACCACTGTACTCCAGCCTGGGTGACAGCAAGACCCTGTCTTAAAAAAACAAACAAAACAAATAAAACTAAAAATCACCTGTATTTTTTTTTTAATGAGACAACAGAAGGGACTGGACCCTCTCACCCCTAATCCAAAGAGGACAGGGGTCGAGGCCACTCCCCAGCACAATGCTTAGGGGCTCCCTGAATGTGCTAGAGGCACGACAATGGCTTGCCACCAAATGCTGCCATCACGGGGACAGGCTACTATGCCCTTTTCCTGACAGCACAAATGTGTTTAAAAAGCAGGCCAGGTGCAGTGGTGGCTCATGCCTGCAATCCCAGCACTTAGGGAGGCTGAGGGAGGCAGATTGCTTGAGGCCAGAAGTTTGAGACCAGCCTGGGCAAGAGCGAGACCCCCATCTCTGGTGTATGCCTGTGGTCCCAGCTATTCAGGAGGCTGAGGTGGGAGGATCAGCTGAGCCCAGGGAGGTCGAGGCTGCAGTGAGCTGTGATCACATCACTGCAATCCAGCCTGGGTGACAGCGTGAGACCCTATCTCATAAAAGGCAAAAACGAAACAACAAAGCAAAAGTCTCCATTTCGCCTTGCTTTCTCAGGGCCTCTACCCACGGTCTTGAACGAAGGAATCTGAGCCTGCTGAATCTACGGGGAACCGAGCAGCAGCAACCAAGAAAAGGGCCAAGAGAAACCGTCCCTGTGACACCCAAGTGCTCCAGAAAACAGTGCTGCGGGTTTGTGACACATAGGCCCTTTTTAAAAAAAAAAGACTATACATTTCTGGCTGGGCACGGTGGTTCACAACTATAATCCCAGCACTTTGGGAGGCCAAGGCAGGTGGATCACTTGAGGTCAGGAGTTCAAGACCAGCCAGGCCAACATGGTGAAACCTCGTCTCTACTAAAAATATCAAAATCAGCCAGGCATGATGGCACGTGCCTGTGATCCCAGCTACTCGGGAGGCTGAGGATACTCAAGCAGAAGAATCGCTTGAACCCGGGAAGTGTAGGTTGCAGTGAGCCAAGATCGTGCCATTGCACTCCAGCCTGGGCAGTAAGAGAGAGACTTCATCTCAAAAAATAATAATAATAAATAAATAATACATTTCTTTGGCAAGTCCTTATTTTTTAACAAGTCTTTTTTAAAAATGCTTTTCACAATTTCAAAGCAAATTAAAATCCAACCTTCCGATAAAGTATACCCATATGCACACTGCACACATGGGCATGAGTCTCTATGCAGAGACAATCTTTGGAAAGAAACATAAAGAAACTAGCGGCCGGGCACGGTGGCTCACATCTGTAATCCCAACACTTTGGGAGGCTGAGGCAAGCAGTTCACCAGAGGTCAGGAGTTCGAGACCAGCCTGACCCATACGGTGAAACCCCATCTCCACTAAAAATACAAAAATTAGCCGGGCGTGGTGGCGGGTGCCTGTAATCCCAGCTACCCGGGAGGCTGAGGCAGGAGAATCACTTGAACCCGGGAGGCGGAGGCTGCAGTGAGCCGAGATTGCACCACTGCACTCCAGCCTAGGCGACAGAGGGAGGTACGTCTCAGGAAAAAAAAAAAGAACGAACGAACGAACGAGGACCTGTGGCTGCCTCTGGAACAGAAACTGGGTGGTGGGAGACTGATTTTCCATAGTACATTTTTTTGTACCATGAACATATGTTCTGTGTTCCAAAAAACCCCAAAACCCTCCTTTTTTAGAATGCCTTAAATAGCTTAGTAAACAACGCAAAGGTAAACTACAATTTTAGAAGGAACTTTCTTCCCCTGTAATTCTGGAATGAGCCTTTTTGTCTAACTGCATACTACCACCTCCAAGGAAACGACCTTATTTTTTCACTTCGTGGCTGTGGCGGGCCATCTAAATATTAAACATCCTGCTTTCTTTGAAGTTTGTTGTGAAGCGTTCCCCTACGTGGGCTGCTGTCGACAGCTCCTAGCATGCCGACTTCATCAAACATCTCCCTGTCTCTGGAGCCTCACGGCACCCTACCGGAGCCTGGCCCCATCGTGCCTTTGTTTCCCCGATCCGGATGCTTGGGTGGGCCACTCCCTGCAACCTCCCACTCGGCGGGCAGGGATGAGCTGACCCAGTTCCCGCAGCTCGAGAGCCTGGTGCCACTCCCCCGCCCACCACACCACACAGATACTCCACAGGTGTCTCATGGGTGTCACCAGAGTGTGCTACAGCGCAGCGTGCAGCTGGAGAAGCACAGCAGGGACCCGGAAGGGGGAGCAGGTCCTGTGCCCCTTGCCCTGGCCCGGCTGCACTCGAGGGGATGGCCTGCTGTGACGTCAGGTGACTCTACTCTCTGCGCCCATCCTCAAGACCGCCCCGGCCAGCCTTACCCTCCATGGGAAATACTGGTCCTCCAGGCGACCGATGCCTAGGCACCCTCGGGTGTTCTTGCCCCACACAAACAGCTCTCCTCCGCCTGCAGAGAGAGGAACACAGGGGTGGGCTGGGACTGTGCGAAGGACCGTCTCCAGGGTGAGGACGGGTCGCGGGAACAGGCTTTCTAGAACCAGGTCCATTCACAGCCCGATGTTCAACTTCAGCTTTTACCAAGCGTTAATGCTTTCTTTTGAAGGCAAAAAGTAAGTGTCTGAGATGCTGTCCCCATGTCAAAAAGAGGTCCACACCCAGGACTCGTGCTGCCACCCACATGGGAGATGAGCACTCGAATAAAGCTGGGGATGGAGGGTGATACACGGGCAGGCGGTGGTGCACAGGGCGGTGGGGCGGGGGGCGGTGCACGTGGCTGGGGGCTGGAGGCCACTAGAGCACGAGGCCCACTCTGCTCACCCCTTGTACCCCAGCCGCAGCCATGTCCCACCACACTCCGCCCTCCGTAGATCTTCCTGATTTGACAGTGAAAAGTAGGCCGACTTGTCATTCCTGGTTTGACTGCCCATATCTTGGGAGCATGCAGCCACATGACATCTAATGACCACGTGCCTGCTCGTGCTGGGTCTAGGTCTGTGTTCCAGGGGCTGGGGACAGGCCAGAGACGGAACAGACGTATGGCTTTATATATGTTTACACACTGTAAAAACCGTCACAGAGAAAAGGTACAGGATGCTGTCAGAGACCAACGCAGGAGACGGGCTGCCGTAGCCCGGCCTTCAGATGGGGCACTCCTGGCCCATGTCACCACCGGCTGTCATGCAAAAGGCTTGGGTCATGGGAGGCAGAGGAAGCAACGTGGAAGCCACCCCAAGAACCGAGGCCAACAGTAAGGAGAAATTACTGTTCGAGACTGGCTGGTCTCGAACTCCTGGCTTGAGGGACCCTCCCAGCTTGGCCTCTAGAAGTGCTGGAAGTACAAGCATGAGCCGCTGTGCCCAGCTAGACCTTAGGCGTTTAACAGAACAATTCGGTCTGGCTCCCCAGAATACTAGCAGACCGCAGGATCAACCAACCAACTTCAGTTCCCAGATAGCTATCTGCAAATGCCAGGCACACAGGCAGGGAGGCAGCCACGCTCTGTCCACCAATGGGTAGTAACTCACCCTTAGAAGGTGACCTGTTGGTAGCCTTCGGGAGAAATCAAGAAAGGAATTTCATTTCGCTGTGACCGGAAATGGCTACATGGCATAAGGGCAAATAGAAAAGGCTCTACCCGGCCGGGCGTGGTGGCTCACGCCTGTAATCCCAGCACTTTGGGAGGCCGAGACGGACGGATCATGAGGTCAAGAGATCAAGACCATCCTGGCCAACACGGGGAAACTCCATCTCTACTAAAAATACAAAAATTAGTTGGGCGTGATGTTGCGTGCCTGTAGTCCCAGCTACTCGGGAGGCTGAGGCAGGAGAATTGCTTGAACCCAGGAGGCGGAGGTTGCGGTGAGCTGAGATTGCACCACTGCACTACAGCCTGGGTAACAAGAGTGAGACTCTGTCTCAAAAAAGAAAAGAAAAGCCTCTACTCCAGTCAAATACTTCACACAGATTTCTGAACATATGACTCTACCCAGAGTGGAGGCCTTAAGAACATTCTGTAAAGTAGATATTTATTGCCCCCAAAACTAGTCCATATGACTCTGATTTGCCAAATCAAAATAGCTTTAAGAATTCACGAGACCTAGAAATATCAGCAAATGCAAGTGGCCACTCTGGGGCAGTGGCCAGGCACTGGACCCAGAGCCAGAGAAAACTCCGACCCACAGCCATCAGAACCAGGCTGCAGTCTGCCTGCCCCACGGCCTCTGAAACCTGGAATTCAGACTGTAAGTGACTAGCAGTTAGGTCCCTGGTTCAGAGGGCGGGCGTCTGCGACAGGCCCCACGTGGGAATGAGGCCAGAGAACTCAACCGCAGGCCACACGAACTGACTGTCCCGGTCCAGATGTTTCAAAAGAAAACAATTACTTGCCATGAAATGAAAAGATTTTTTAATGGCAAGGAAGTAACTCATTTACTTGAGAATCACGGGATGAAATGAATTCAGGACAGTGCTACTCCTCAAGTCAGCTGGAGAGCAGCGAACTGATTCAGTGGGATGCAAGCAAGAGAAAAACGCGTTCTGGAGGCCTGCAGGGTCACGGATATTCCGTGGCTTTGTAACTGGGCAAGCCTTTGGGAAAACCTCCGTTTCTACCTCCCTTTCATCATCCTCTGCCCCGGCACTGTGGAGGAATCCGCAGATTTACCTCTGTGAAACCACGGGACAGACAGTCCCGCCTTTTGCCATCCCATATCCTGGGTCAGATCAGGGGCTGGGCTCGGCCGGGGAACAGGATGAAGCCCCACACACTCACTTCCTAAGGACCCACCCGTGGGTCCGCCAATGCTGGTTTCCCCCCGCACCCGACGTACTCAGGGCGCCCTCCTCCTGCCACCGACGGGCGCGCTCTTGAGAAAATGCATGTTCACGTTAGCCTACCCACAAACCAATGGACCAAAACTCCAGGGTGGGAGAAACGAGACACGTGATCCAACCTGGAGGCAAACAGCTGGCTTAGCCCTCGCTTCGATCCTCAGAACAAAGGCGCCGCTCCGTTGAGCGGGTGGAACCTGAGACCTGCCGGCAGTCTGGGCTTGAACTTGAAACAGAACCTCTGCCAGGCTTACCCCGGGGCCTCAGGGGCCTGGTCACTTACTGGTCAGTGCAGCAAAGTGGCTGAGTCCACATCGGATGCGGGAAACCCGGACTTCTGGGTTGAACTCCGTCAGGCCAAAGAGAGTGGGCGGAATCATTTCAGGGATGGCAGTTTCCACTAGGTTTGGGCCTTTGCCAAGAATTCCATAGCCCCAGACAAAAACATGTCCCTCTCCTACATTACAGTAGAAACAAGGGTCAGTGAGTCCCTCCGCGTAAGAACCCTCCCTCACCAGAAACTCCAACTACACCACAAAGGCTCATGACAGCTACACGGTTTTGTTTTTGTTTTTTTTCTCCTTGCTTGGCAAGAACATGTGGACAGAGATTTAGAATTCTCTCTCCCCTGCTTCAATCCTTGCTGGGGGAGTCGGTCTCGCCAGCTTTCCTGGCTCAGAACACAAACTCCCCACATCTTGAGGGTTAGCAACCTGGAGGGGACCAGGGCATAAATCAGCCAGAAAACCCACGTGAACACCAGGGACCTGGGGAGGTTTTTTTGACAGCTCCGTGTTTCGCGCTGATCAGAAGGACCAAGCCAAGCACATAAACCATGTCTGGCCAGATGCTTCCAACTCTTCGAAATGATGTTTTGGTTACAGAAAGTTTCATATTCTTCAGTGGTGCCAGGCGTTTCATCACTCTCCAGAGCTGAAGGCTGTTCCCCCATCTGCCTTTGATTTTTT